AAGTAGACGAATGTCTTAAGTTGCTTGGTGTTAAATATCAAAGCAAAGATAGTTTGATGAAAAGATTAAAAAAATTAGTAAAAGCCTGTGAAGAAATTGCATTAACTGGTCCCATGCAAGAAAGATTACTCACATGCTTAAACGCGTTAGATGGTGATCCAGAAGGAATACCAATTGGAAAAATAAACGGTATTCCTATTAGTTCAGTAGGATTCAAACCTTATTCTTTTGACCCAAACAAAAAAAATTACATTGATAAACTTTTGAAAGGTTGTAAAAAATATTCGAATGATAAAAAATTAACACAAGAAAATCCCGATAGTTTTATGAAAAAACTTACCATATGTTGCCACTACGTGAATGCTGATTTAAGAGATAACCGAGCCCTAACAAGTGAAGACTACAGATTCGAACTTACCATGGATGCTACTATCAGTAGCTTATTTAGAAAATGTAAAGCTAGAAAATATGATAAAAGAATGGAAGAACGTAAGTTTTCCTTATTTTCTTATACTATTTTTAGTTTACTCAACTAATTATTCCTATTTTAGATAATGAAATGCAAAGAGAATCTGATCATTGGAAAAACTTCGATCCTATTCAATTATTATATAAAAATAAATAGCCTTGAATAATTTATTTTATTTTTTTTTTATATGTATTACTTTATAAATTTTATAAATAAAAATCTACTTTTAAACATTTTTTTATAAATTTTAATTCTACTTTAAACAAAATAATGTCTGATGAACTTGAAGTTTATCCAAAAGCAATAACAATACCAAGCGGTTCTCTTCTTGCTGACCATATTCAAGGAGATTTTAACAGATTGACAGACCAAATAAAACTATTGAAAAAAGAAAATGAAGAACTAAAAAAAGGAAATGAACCATTAAACACCCAAATAACCAACCTAACCAATCAAATAAATAACCTAAGAAATAAAAATGAGAAACTAAAACCGTTAAAAGAAGAAAACGAAAAACTCAAAAAACAAAACACTGATCTGTTGGCTGATAACAAGACCTTAATCGATCAAAATAAAAAACTATCCGAAGAAAATAAGAAATTTCAAGAAGATAATGATAAACTCACACATGCGAATCTAAACTACAAAGATACCTTAAAGAAAGTAAACACAGCTGCCAACTTAAGCCTAGACTACCTTGGTGCAAAATATGATAAAAATGATACAATTGAAAAAAAAATGGAAATAATAGCTTATTGGGCAGAAAAAATATTTGCCGATATAACTCCCGTTGAAGTTAGAAGAAAAAAATAATTTTTTATTAAATTGTAATAAAATATATCAAATAAATATAAATATAAATATAAAATATAATTTTAAATCGTGATGTTTGTTAAATCAAAGTATCTGTCCCACTGCGTCTTATTGAATCGTGTATAATTAAAGAGATAAGATCTAAAGAAAAAATAATACTTTCTTGAAATAAGATCAAAATCAACTTTATACAATCTAACCAGATGCCACATATCATAATCTAATAGATAATTCAAACAAATTGGCTATATAGAACATTCCAAACACTCGATAAGATAAAAAAAATACCAAAACCCAACAATAAATGATAATATGTATATTAT